CTGTTAGTATGTAAACAGTGTGCTCACACTGACTGGTTTCCGAGAGGTCTGCTGTGATCCTGATACATGTAAACAGTGTGCTCCACACTGACTTGGGTTTCTGGAGGACTGCTGTCATCCTGTTAGCATGTAAACAGTGTGCTCACACTGACTGGTTTCTGAGAGTGTCTGCTGTCGTCCTGTTACCATGTGAGCTTAGTGCTCTGATGTTGCCTCCCCTGTCCCCCCTCGGCTCTGCACGTTTGCAGCTGTAAGGAGCCCATGTGCTATGTTTATGTTAATGTGTCATTATTAGGTTTTGTTCCTGCTGAGCCAGCACATCTGCCTTTTTTTTTTTTGAGCTGGAGTCTCACTGTGTTGCCCAGACTGGAGTGCAGTGGTGCAATCTTGGCTGACTTTAAACTCTGCCTCCCAGGTTCAAGCGATTCTCCTGCTACAGCCTCCCCGAACTACAGGTTTGCGCCACCACGCCTGGCTAATTTTTGTATTTTTAGTAGAAAAATACAATTTTTTTTTTAGTAGAAAAACACTAAAAATTGTATTTTAAGTAGAAAATCTTAGCTCGGCTGCTCTCGAACTCCTGACCTCAAGAGATCCGCCCACTCAGCCTCCCAAAGTGCTGGGATTACAGGCTGAGCCACTGTGCCTGGCCCTGGCTGCCTTTTAAAGTGAATGGGAGATGCATTGGCGGCTGCTGTATTCCCCCGGGTGCTCTCTGCCTTTTGAGGCCTGGTGGCCACCTGTCCTGGAATCACATCCCCCACTTGAGTAGCTTTCCCATTTTCCCCAGCTGGCTGCTGCTTCTGCCTTCCTCCTTTTCTCTGTACCTATTACTAAGTCTTCCCAAGCCGTGGCAGGTGCAGGAACCCTCCTGCAATCCAAGGACTGAAGATCCTTCTACACCGTCAAAGCGCCAGGTCATCTGTGTCACACACAGGCTCCGTGTGTCCTGTGGGGTCACCCCTGGAGACCTCATCCCAGGAGCTGTCAGCTGGGGCCCCCACCTGTTCTGAGAATGGTGCCCTTCTCTTCTGTCTTGAGTGGGACCCCTCCCCTCTTGAGCCGCCTGAGCTCAGAACAGCCTGTGCCCACTGGCCCCACGAGGATCGCGGCCCCTGCTGAGAGCTGCGTGTGCTCAGAGCCTCGAGTCCTCGGTGTGCAAAGGGGGCGCGGCAGGACCCCCAGGAGCGCGTGGTGACCCAGGCCGGCTGGAGTCGGCGCTGGGGAGGCTGCGGGGACCTCCGTGTTGGTTCGAGTGTGGCCGACGTCGCTGTGCAACGGGTTCTAGGCCTTGTGTTCGCAGCTGTTTTTTACCGAGTCCCCATCAGGCTCACAGGCCCCTGGCCCCAGGCTCAGGGGATAGCACGTGCCCGGGAGGCTCCTCAACCCAGTCTCCCGAGTAGTGGGGATTACAGGCATCCGCCACCACGTCCAGCTAATTTTTGTATTTTTAGTAGAGATGGGGTTTCACCATGTTAGTCAGGCTGGTCTCGAACTTCTGACCTCAAATGATCTGCCCGCCTCGGCCTCCCAAAGTGCTGAGATGACACTGAGCCCCCGCGCCCGGCCTCCTTCCTCGTTTCCTGTCACAGTCTGCAGGCACGGGGGACCCGCTGGCCAAGGCGCGGCTGCTGAGGGCGGTGCGGAGCCGTCCGAGGCCGTGTCGGGGTGTTGGGGTATCGGGGTCACCGGCAGGGACACACTGGGGCGTTTACGGGACCCACTGAGAGCTGGAGCGCGGGGAGCTGACACCCTACGGGGGAGCTTCCTGAGGCCTCTGGGAAGCTGCTCGTCCGCGCAGGGTCGGGGGTTCCCGGGGAGCGCGTGAGTCTGGCCGCCCGGGGAGGCGCAGGGGGACCTCGAGGCCGATTCCAGGCGCAGCCAAGCAACCCCCGCGGGATCCCCCAATCCTCCCGATGCTGCGGCCCTGGGCAAGGGCAGACAGTGGGGTCGGGGGTCACGGGGCGCTTGCGGGGAGCCTGGGCCTGGTCTGAGGGAGAACGTTCTGCGGGGACTGACCGGGCCGGGACCCCCCCGGGGAAAGGCCGAGCCTGGAGAGACCGACGCAGCCGTGGGGTCCAAGGAGACGGGGTCCCGGGAGAGGGGGTCCCAGGAGAGCGGGGTCCCGGGAGAGGGGTCCCAGGAGAGGGGTCCCAGGAGAGCAGGGTCCCGGGAGAGGGGGTCCCAGGAGAGCGGGGTCCCGGGAGAGGGGGTCCTAGGAGAGCGGGGTCCCGGGAGAGGGGTCCCAGGAGAGGGGTCCCAGGAGAGCGGGGTCCCGGGAGAGGGGGTCCTAGGAGAGCGGGGTCCCGGGAGAGGGGTCCCAGGAGAGCAGGGTCCCGGGAGAGGGGTCCCAGGAGAGGGGTCCCAGGAGAGGGGTCCCAGGAGAGGGGTCCCAGGAGAGCAGGGTCCCGGGAGAGGGGGTCCCAGGAGAGCGGGGTTCTAGGAGAGGGGGTCCCGGGAGATGGAGGTCCCAGGAGAATGGGGTCCCAGGAGAGCAGGGTCTGGGGACAAGATGGAGGCGGATTCCTCCTCTCCAGGGAGCTTGGGAGGCTCTGAGTAGGGGGCGCGTGTCCCGCAGGGAGGGTCCCCGGCTTCTCGGGGCCAGGCGGGAAGGCTGCGGGGGCTGCGGGCGGCCGGGACTCCCGGCTGTGGCCCCGAAAGACCTCCCTGGGGGGTTCCTGGGGCCGCGGCTCCTCCCTGGGCCTCAGGTCCGTGCGTCGCAGGCAGCTCGTGTTCAGGGAAAGTCAAAGATTCTTTTCTTTCCAATCCCATGAAACAAACGCTCAGAGGCCGTCCCGCCGCTGGGGCTCCGCGCCGTCATTTCTGGGGCGTCGTCTCCTTTTCCCGGGGGGCCCCGGTCCCTGTGTTCCCAGCTGTGGCCAGATGCGGGGAGAAGCGGCCAAATCACGAAGGGCCTGGACAGGGCCGCGTGCGGACCGGACTGCGCTGGGGGAGCTGAGAGGAGCCGCGAGCGATCGAGGGGTCCCGCTCCCGAGCGGCCGGGACAGAGTCTAGACCGGGCCCAGTCCCCAGCCCGGGCCGGGGCGGCCTCCACGTGGGAAGACACGCAGGGCCAGGAGCTGGGAGTGGGTGCAGCGGCCTCGGCTGTGTCAACAGGTGGGCAGAAACCTCAGCGTGTGCCAAGCTGCAGTCCCGGTGGGTCTTAAGCGTTTTGGTCTTGGGACATATTTACTCTTTAAAAATTATTGAAGACCCTCAGAGCTTTTGTTTTTGTGCATTATAACCTTCGAAATATACCGTATTAGCGGCCGGGCGCGGTGGCTCAAGCCTGTAATCCCAGCACTTTGGGAGGCCGAGGCGGGCGGATCACGAGGTCAGGAGATCGAGACCATCCTGGCTAACGCCGTGAAACCTCGTCTCTACTTAAAATACAAAAAATTAGCCGGGCGTGGTGGCGGCGCCTGTAGTCCCAGCTACTCGGGAGGCTGAGGCAGGAGAATGGCAGGAACCCGGGAGGCGGAGTTTGCAGTGAGCTGAGATCCACCACTGCACGCCAGCCTGGGCGACAGAGCAAGACTCTGTCACAAAAAAAAAATATATATATATATATATATATGTGTGTGTGTGTGTGTGTTATATGTGTATATCATATATGTAAATTATATATATATACTATATTAGCAATTAGAACTGAGACATCTAAAAATACTTATGGTTTCATTCATGTTTACGTTTCAAAATTTACTTATACATTTTAGATTTATGTGAATTTATGGGGCACAAGTGTAATTTTGTCACAGGCACACATTGCACAGGGAACCCCAATAATGTGTGCTGTACCCGTTACGTACTTTCTCCCTCCACTCCCTCCCAGACTCTGCTGCCCATAATTCCACACTCTGTGTCCACAAGTGATTCAGCTCCCACTTTAAGAACATGCAGCGTTTGTCTTTCTGTTTCACTTAAGAGAACGGGCACCACTTCCATCCACATTGCTGCAAAACAGACCATTTCGTCCTTTATTGCTTCATTTAAAAACAGCAATAATAAGCTCACTGAGTGTCAACATATAGGATAAACACGTTAGTAATATTTTTAGTAAAAGGATGGCATTATCTTACATTGTGCAAACCTCTTCCACGGGTTCTCTGATTTGAACTGCTGTGATACTGTTGTTCTGGTTGAAATGGAGAAGAAAACCTGACCCCACACAGACATTGAGTCGGGACAGGGGATTATTTACCAGTCTTTCTGGATAACTGTGCATCATCTTTCTTGGCATTACACAACAGGTGGGAAGTGATGGTTTCTTCAAGGTGAGCTACTGTGGAACCTGAGACCACGGTGCACATGCTCCGTGCTCAGCCAGGCCGTGACGTGCAGCCATCATGCGCTTTGGGTGGGCTCTTACCCGGCGTGGCTTCGTAGCATCCTGTGCCAGTCGTCTGGAAACAGTCAGTTCACCGAGTCATGTGGAGCTTCCAAATGTTGACGCATTTCTTTATTTAATATCAGAAGTCACATTTGCGAATATCACCACCAACTTCCTCGGAAAAGTCTTGACGTGCTGACTGGGAAGCTCACTGTGATGGATACAAGTTTTCCAAAATTCTAATTTTTGCTTGAAAGCTGAAATTTTGTTATTGGCAACAAATACTGCAAGTTTACCTTAAAGCAACAGGCTCAGTTTGCTCATTTTCAAGAAAATGCCTGCCCGATGCCCAGTGACTGTGGCTTGTTGGTTGTTTTTTCAGGCACAGCGTAGCTGGGGGGTGGCGGGGGTGGCTCCAGACTCAGTCGCACACTTTCTCCCAGTCCTGCCAGCTTCCATGTGTGGTATACGCACTCTCTGCCTGCATTTCCCGTGTACTCCCCCACCTGTGGCCACGCGCCCCGCTGTGCTGTGTGCAAGGCTGAGATATAACTGAATGGATAGTTTTTCTGCCCCAGGGTGGCTTTTAAAAGTGGAGCTGTCATTTCTACTGCACAGTGAGTGCCTGGCAGTGGTAAGGCAGGGTGTGGAGCCGCTGCCCCGTGCCCACCAGGGAGTCGCCATTCTGCAGATATCGCCTGCTGGAGAAGGCATTGTCATAAAAGTAGTGACACATTGTCACACGGTGTCACTCAGCATTGTCACAAATGTAGTTCTGATCTGCAGACCCCCTGGCAGAGTCCCTGGGAACTTACCCCATGCCAGGACCCACAGGCCGCACGGTGAGAACCTCCTGCCGTGGGTGAGATGAATCCTCCAGGGACTGGGAGGGAGGCTGTGGGTGGGGCTGGAGCCCCGGGTATGTCCTCAACTGGCTGGGGAGCCTCCCCCAGGGGCGATGTGGGCGAGTGCACGTCTATTGGGGTCCCTTCCCTGGTTCGTGAACCTGAGAGGCCACCCTAGGCCCCTGGTGCCCCTCCCTGCGGGACAGCGCCCCTGGCTTTCTGTTCTTGAGACTCCCTCCACTTCCCATGCGCCTCCCCCAGCACGTGGAGACTCCTGTTTCTCCCAGGCGGATGGAACCCGGTTCTTTCCAACTTGGCAAACGTGATCCGTCTTCTCTGTTCTGTTTCCATTTGCTTTTTGATGTTAAATTTCTGTGAACAAAACTTTCCATTGGTGTCTGTTTTTTTTTTTTTTTTTTTTTTTTGATCGTAGTCTTGCTCTGTCGCCCAGGCTGGAGTGCAGTGGCCGGATCTCAACTAACAGCGAATGAAATGAATGAATATATTTCTTTCTCCTGCCTCAGCCTCCCGAGTAGCTGGGACTACAGGCGCCCACCACCTCGCCTGGCTAGTTTTTTGTATTTTTAGTAGAGACGGGGTTTCACCGTGTTAGCCAGGATGGTCTCGATCTCCTGACCTCGTGATCCGCCCGTCTCGGCCTCCCAAAGTGCTGGGATTACAGGCGTGAGCCACCGCGCCCGGCCGGTGTCTGTTTTAAAGACCCTCAGAACCTGGTGTGCCACGCTAGAGGCTCTATCAGTGCAGGCCCCGGGCTGCCTGGAGGAGTGAGTGAGGGGTCCATGCTGCGTCAGGAGCTGGGGACTGCCGGGGATGAGACGCATCTCTCTGGCCAGGGTGTTCACTTTAGAGTTATGAGGCGGCCGGGAAGCTGGGCCACAGGCGGGAGGCCTGGGGTCCAGGCGCTACAGCCAGTGCCAGCTCCTGCTTTCCACGACCGGCAGGTTCTACCATCACCTCAGTGAGCCGTCAGCAAACGTCCCTTACAGACACTCCATCCGGACACGCGCACCTCATTGCCAGGTGGTCTCTCTGCTGACCCTACATCTGTGATGGCAGAACTCAGCTCAGAGCAGGTGCAGCAGGAGGCGAGGGAGGGAACACTGGCACCCTCACAGCAGCTGGGCCCTTCCATGCGCCCTCCAATCTTGTCACCCAGTAGGCCATGGCCCAGGGGTCCCTATGGCTGGCAGGAGAGTGGACAGCACAGGACCTGAGACCCTTTTGTCAGACTCAGGCGCCCTCTCTCTCCTCCCTGTGAAAACAAAATCTTAGAAAGGGGAAAGTCAGCAGACGGCTGGGACTGCTCACCTCCCTCACCACCCCCTCCATGCTGCTGCTTTGCTGCTACCTCAGAGGTGGAGCCGTCTCCCCAGGCTGTGTGGCAGGTCCTTTCTGCGCCGGCCAAAAGAATTGCAGAGCCCGATTCCACAAAAGAGCATGAGTGTGAGACTGGGAGGCAGGCTCTGGCTGCAGCCACAACCCTGATGGCAGTAATTTCCTTTGGTTTTGAATTTTCACCTAAAAAAAAAAAAAATCCATGTTTAGCCTTAGGATAATAATAGCTACTGTTCCTAGCCACATTGCTTGTACAATATGCACACACACATTGCCACGGCATGCAGAGTTGAATCTGGCACACCTGCAAGGTCAAAGCCGAGGTCATGGCTTGTGACAGGCAGGGAGCAGCTGCCAGTGCTGCCCTGCCCATGTGTGCCCCCATGTACCCAAGTGTGCCCGCATGTATCCCGGTGTGCCCACATGTATCCCGGTATGCCCACATGTACCCAGGTGTGCCTGCATGTACCCATGTGTGCCTGCGGATACCTGGGTGTGCCCACATGTACCTGCGTGTGCCTGCATGTACCTGGATGTGCCCGCAGATACCCAGGTGTGCCCCCATGTACCCACATGTGCCTGCAAATACCCACATGTACCCGCATGTACCCGGGTGTGCCTGCAGATACTCAGGTTGTCCACATGTACCTGTGTGCCCACATGTAGCCAGGTGTGCTCACATGTACCCATGTGTGCCTGCAGATACCCGCGTATGCCATGTACCCGGGTGTGCCCGCATGTACCTGGGTGTGCCCACAGATACCCAGGTTGCCCACATGTACTGAAGTGTGCCCACATGTACCTGGGTGTGCCTGCAGATACCCAGGTTGCCCACATGTACCCAAGTATGCCCACATGTAGCCATGTGTGCCCATGTGGGCAGGGTGGGCAGAGGCAACACAGTTGCCCACTGGCTCTGACACAGAGGCTCGAAGAAAACCCTGGGGCCCAGTGAGGGCGTGCCCACCCTGTGGGGAAGATGAAACCACCTTCTGCCGTCCCACCCAGCGGCCAGCTCTGGCAGAGCCTCCCAGCGGAGCACAAAGGAGTGTGGACAGGGCTCCAGCTTAGTTCTGACATGTGTTGGAAGCACCTGCGGGCATCCCCTTTGCAGAGCAGCTGCTGTACTGGTGGGGTTGGGGGGTGACCTGGGCCGTTCCTCTATTCTAGGAGGAGTGGGGTTCCAGGTGAGGTTCTGGCTCCAACTCTCTCGGACGGTGCAGATAGGCCTCCTGCATAGTGGCTGCTGCACCCAGCACCAGGGCTAGTCCAGCTCCGCATCTTCACTACTGAGCAGCTTTTACTTGACCCTATTTTGTGAGGATATGGGCTTTAAAGTCACGTGCCCTTTCGATGACAGCAGCCCTGGAGGTTGGGAACCTGCATGACAAATACAGTTGTGGGCCAGTTACTTTCTTTCTTTTT